ATGCCAGGTGCAGGGTCTGCTGGCTGTGTGCTGGCAGGCTTGCACCTGGCACGGGCACCGTAGCCAGACCGTGCCCCTTTAAGGACTCTGGGGCCGGGAGGGGGACAGACGAGTTTCCCTGGTGGTGCCCAGAGTGGCCACCAGGGCAAGCTGGGGAGGGCTAGCCTCCCACAAGTTCGAATTAAGTGGCCACACAGCCCTTAATTCGAACTGCTTAATTCGAACTAGGTGTTAGTCCTCGTAGAATGAGGTCTACCTTGTTCGAATTAAGCGCTCCGCTAATTCAAATTAAGTTCGAACTAGCGGTTTGCCTGTGTAGCACCTATCAAAGTTAATTCGAACTAACAGCTGTTAGTTCGAATTAACTTTGTAGTGTAGACATACTCATACTCACACTCACACTAACTTTGTAGTGTAGACAGGAGAGAAGGCAGCTATATACCTGTCCCCAATTAAACTGAGCAAGGTGTAACCAAAAAAAAAGAGGAAGATTTGTTTACATACAGATCAGCAGGGCATGGGAAGACGACTGCATGTGGTCATCTTGCCTACATCTACACTGCAATGCTATTTTGGGATACTGGAGTATCCCAAAATAACTATTCTGCGTCTTCACAGCAAGCCCATTATTTGGGCTCGCTATTCCGACGTCCCTGTAATCCTCATGCTATGAGGAGTAAGGGACGTTTTGGAATAGAGCTTTATTTCAAAATCTGGTGCTGTGTAGATAGCGCCAAATGACAAAATAAGCTATTTTGAAATAGCCTTAAAATAAGATATGCAATTGTTCTACTCTTGTTCTAGATCAACTCTGTGCTCTGTTTGAATTGATGTGTTAGCTCCAGTTATAGTAATAAGCTTTTGCCTCCCTAAAAAAGCAACAAATCTTATTAATTCTGACCACTTAAGGAAAGGGCTAGACACGTTAGAGTGGATAGTGTTGGGGAAGTTCTGGACAGGAAGTGTATTGGGGTCACCCTACAAATAGTAACCAAGGCTGGTTGTGGAGCTGCTAACATTGTATGCTGGGCTCACAGCACTGAAGCTGGGCTGCCCATCACACAGACAGTCTGGGACTTGCATACTTGTCTGATGGCTGATGATGTCCGAGCTCAGAGTTACAGCCGCAGTTTTTTAAGGTAACCAAGATTACAGGACAGTCTGTGATACAACTCTTGTTGGTCTGTACTGAATCCCCAGAATATGATGTATGCTATCTGTATTGCTGCATAATAGTTACTACTACGGACTGAGCCATCGATCAATGGATATCATCTTCTATGATGCTGTTGGTGAGCAACTAAGCCAGTTGTTGATTGGCACATCTGATTACAGATGTCTCATAAAAATCCTGTCATCTGCAGATGTTGTACATTCTCTTTGGACCCTATTCTTTTCTTGTAATGTCTGAATCTGTTGACTCTCAAAGTGTTTGAGAGGCTCTCAAACTGCATAATAATGCCGCTTCCCACAATCCCCTGCTCTTTAAATAGTGCCATTTTCAGTTTTCTGCCCCCAGGAAACATTCAAACTCCATATTGATAGGCCAAAGGGAGGAGGCTTCAGAATGACGTGACAAGAAATTCTCTTGCTTTCATTTCTAGCCAGGCTTCGGGAGGAGGAATTGATTTTTGCTTGTTGGTGAGCAAATGGTTACAAAAATGTAGCTTTTCCCTTGATCTGGCTCTCCTGCATGCCTCAGCAGTTTCGAAGATGGTTGTATTGTGCTGCTCCCTCTGTTTGTTGGACTATTGGAATCATACTGCATTCATTAACTAAATAATTTGATCTAGTTATTTTTGGGGTGTGTGTGTGTGCATGCGTGCACTGTTTGATATTTGACTAGAAACATGAAGAGCCTCAGGTCTATAATCCCAGCTGATGTAAACTGCCAGCATTCCATCGATTTCAGTGGAGCTGATCTGATTGACACCAGATGAGGATTGAGCCCTGCATGTGACTACATTTCCCAATTCCTGAAGAAACCTCCCCAATGGTAAATGCCTAACGCCTGGGCTGAAAGGTGACGGAAAGAATGGATCTTTCCCAGTTGTGTTTGCATGCTACAAAAGATCTGGCCTGAAACACTGCTTGATGCAGACTCTAGAAATCGCCTTTGGAACTCCACTACCAGAACTAGGAACAGGGCAATAGGCAGCATTCGCTTGCATTTAGTCAGATCTGCCATCATGAGAAAGATGAGTGCTCTTTTTTTCAGCTAGAGTGAAGCAGAATAGCAGGGAAGGTTCAGCCCCTGCTTAATAGCTTCCCCCCTGTGCAAGTGAAAGTCTGAACAAACTTTTCTCGACTGTGCAAACTCCATTTATGCATGGGTTGAATTTTCACTGCCTGTTGCCTACCCCTTTGCCCTCCCCCACCCTTTCATGTTCAATGCATTCACCTCTTCTCTCCATCTCTGACTCTCTTTCTCCTCTATTGTTCTCTACATCACCAAATGTCGCTCACTTCATAAAGCTGTCTGGCTTGGAGCTTAAATATTGCAGGGTAACTAAAACCCACCCATCAGAGCCGATCCAGTCATATCTGCTCAGTCGTGCGACAAGGTTGGGACTTTTACAGTAGGGAAGGAAAGAGACAAAAGTTCACTCTTCGCTGCAGAGTGCCAAGAGAGAAGGAGGACACGTTCCTTCACCGGAGTCTTTTACTGTGGCAAGTTGTTTGGTGGATGGCCTTAATCTATATATGCTTTCTTTTGTCTCTAGCTTGATCAAATCGTAGGATTTGGAATTTAATGGAAGGATTGTTAAATCCTGTTGGGTTTCAATGGAACTTGTGCTCCTAATTCACTTAGGCACTTTTGAAACTCCCAATCTATAACTTAAAAAAAAAAAAGCCACAACCCAAACTAAATGTGCAAGAAACTGTTGTTCATGTTGGACCTTAGGGGATTGATATGGGCAGTTCTGATCGAATTCAAGAAATTAAGAAATTGTTATATTATGCAACTCAAGCCAATGCAGGATTTTCCCTTGAAATACCTTTTCTAAGGCTTTGTCCAATTTAATTGTAATAGATGATTGGGGGGCTGTGCCGGGAAGAGCACATGCAGCAGCTTAAGAACCATTTAATTTATAAAGGCTCATTAAGTAGAATGTGGGACAAGGCAGATTTTTGAAATGTGTGATGCTACTTTATTGAAGTTCCTGAGAAGATTTATCCATTTGCAGCAAGTTGCATGTAGGATTTTAGAAGAAAGTAGTATGAAGCCATTTTTCTCTCTCTATTGCATTGAGTTGTCAGAGGATAAACAGATTTATAATGCATAACAATGCCACTTTTCCAAGATGGAATGAAGGCAGCTTATTGATAGCAGAGGATCTTGGTGTTAGATTATTGCAAAGTGTGTAGAATATCTGTGGGACTGTTAATTACACTGAATGGAGAATGACATTTATATTGTGTTGCACTAATTATCTGGTTTATTAATCAGGAAATGCTATGTGTGTTTGTAGAAATGGAACTTTTAAATCCGTTTAGATAATGTATGTAAACAATAAAATCTTTGTATTGTATTTGTTCAAGTAAGTGCTCACATTAATACACTTTTTTACACAACTTTAGTAGCTGATAGAGCAGAAATGTGTCTTACTGTTTAAATCACCAAACTGTGGCTCACCAAGCTTGCACATCTGAGGTGTATAAATGGGAGAATGACATCACATTCTCAATGGTTTTTGTACAGAGATGTGGACATAAATGTTCATGTGGTAGAAGGACCAGAATAATGACTCCATTTTAGTCTTGATGCGTCTTTATCTTGTTGAATTATTTGTGTCATTCCTAAAGGACAGAAAAACCCAGAGAGGTTTCCCAGCCACAAAAGAGAGAGTTTACAGAGGAAATTTCCTTGTCTTTTTATTCCCTCCCCCCCAGTATTGTAATATAAGGTGAAAACATTTTCAAGGTATAAGCTACTTTGGAGAAGAAATACATGTGACTTAAAGTCAGAAGCAAGTTATATATGAGTAGAAAAATGATTCTTGTTTGTTTAATGTGGTTTATGGCCATTCTCTTTCCTTCTCTTCTCTTAGATAGTAAGAGATGGGTGACTGGAGTTTCTTGGGGAACATTTTAGAAGAAGTGAATGAGCACTCCACAGTCATCGGGAGAGTCTGGCTCACAGTGCTCTTCATTTTTCGAATCCTGATTCTGGGAACAGCTGCTGAATTTGTCTGGGGAGATGAACAGTCAGACTTTGTGTGCAACACGCAGCAGCCTGGTTGTGAGAATGTCTGTTACGATGAAGCCTTCCCCATTTCCCACATCCGGCTCTGGGTCCTGCAGATCATCTTTGTCTCTACTCCTTCACTGGTGTATGTGGGGCATGCTGTGCATCATGTGCGGATGGTGGAGAAGAGGAGAGAGAGAGAGCAGGCAGAGAGGCAACAGCAAGCTGAGATGGATGAAGAGAGGTTACCGCTAACTCCAGACCAAGAGGACATCAGGAACACCAATGAAATCAATCCCAAGGGGGCCAAGAAGTTCCGACTGGAGGGAACACTCCTGGGAACCTACATCTGTCACATCATTTTTAAAGCCATTTTCGAGGTAGGGTTCATAGTAGGTCAATACTTCTTGTACGGCTTCCGAATTCTACCCCTGTACCGCTGTGGCCGGTGGCCTTGCCCCAACCTTGTGGACTGCTTTGTATCCAGGCCCACTGAGAAGACAGTCTTCATTATGTTTATGCTGGCTGTAGCCTCAGTATCCCTCGTCCTCAACCTTGTGGAGATCAGTTACTTGAGCTTGAAAAAGATTCGCCTGTTTTTCAGGAGGCCCACAGAGCAACAACAGGGGGAGATCCCAGAGAAGCCCCTCCACTCCATTGCAGTCTCTTCCATTCAGAAGGTCAAGGGCTACAAGCTGCTGGAGGAAGAGAAGCCGGTGTCCCGTTACTTACCTCTGACAAAAGTGGGGGTAGAAACTGCTCCCCCTCCATCTTCTTTCAATGACTTGGATGAGAAGCTTGGTATGGGTCCCGTAGAAGACCTTTCCAGGACCTTTGATGAGAGATTACCATCTTATGCCCAAGCAAAAGAGCAGAAGGAGGAGAAGGTAGAGGCAGGGGAAGAGGAGCAGGATCAAGAAGAAGAGGAGGAGCATCAGGAACCAGAAGAAGAGCTGGAGGTGAAGAAGATGGCAGCGGAACAGGAACTGCCAGGAGAGGAACTGCCTGCAGTGCCTGCTGAAACTGACACAAGACCTCCCAGCAGGTTAAGCAAAACCAGCAGCCGGGCCAGGTCAGATGATTTGACTGTATAAGGGTGTGGGGAGTAACTACGCACACACAAAATCACACGTTTTTAAACAAAATGCTCAAATGGTCATTTGAATATTTCCTATTGAGATTCTCCGCTGGAAAGGTGCTATCATTGTAACTGCACCTTGTCTGTCCTGTGTGTCCCATGGCTGGTGCTAGCTATCATGTAACATATTCAAAGGAACAGTTTCTTTTTTTTTTCCAGATGCCAGTTCACTTCTCACAGCACCTGTGCTATACATGGCACTGAAGCATTTTAAAACTAAAACAAAACAAAAATCCAAATGTATTTACTATGGCTGCACTTGCTGACAGTTTTATGTTCCACATTTCACTAGAGATATGGGGGAAATGGCTCTTTCAGACAGTATCTGGCTGAAGGGTTGATAAATAGATATCTTTGGATATTTCTTACTCTGTTTTAGCATGTGGCATAATGACATTGGTCCTCCCTTCATTGCTAGCATAGAATTGCAGTTATTTAATTCACAAAAAAGGATCCTGTGCTTAATATCATGAAACTAGATGAAAGTATTATCACCAAAATGGCCTTGCTTTGTTTGTGAATGCAAATTTCAGTTGCTTATAAATACCTTCCCGGCATCCCCTTGGTTAGAAACACTTTTGATCTACAAGTGATGCTGATAACAGAAAAGATTAAAGCTAGTTTCTTGTAAGAATTTAGCAGATGCACACAAATGGGTTATTTATTACCAACAGGGTCATTTCAGTCAAAGACCTTTGTCAGGCTAGTGCAAAGAATAAATTAAATTAATATTTGTTGTTAAGTGGGGTGATTGGGGTGTGGAAATTGACTTACAAAGGAGTGATAGGAAGGCATCTGTAAGTAGAACTACTGTACATAGAGCACAATGTCCAACGTAAGGCTCCCAGTGCTGCATTTGCAGCTAGATCTCAAAAGGTGCTTCCTTCCTGCAACTCCCAGGAAGATATGGGCACTCAACAAGTCTGAGAGAGTGTGTTGAGATACTCAGCTTGGCAGTTGGTATCCTAAAATATAAATTTCGGCAGCTAAGTGACTGCTTAAACACCCAAATGCCAAACTTCTTGACCTGATTTATGTGCTCAGGTTTGAAAAATAGGCCCTTATTTTGAATAACATAACAACGGTCATTAGACATCCTGCTTTGTTGCTAATTTGATAAGAAACTCAATTTGCAGGAGTTTCCAATACTCTACTTAGCTAATGAACATAAATGAATAGAGCAAGGTCATTCAAAGGATCAGTAAGAAAAAATATCTGTACCCAAAGGACTAAAGGAATGCCACAAAGCTCCAGCAAAGTCTATTTTATTTTAGAAAAAATTAAGAAAGAACATCCACTTTCTGAGTGTGTAATAGCTAATGTTAAAAATGTCAATGGCTTTCAAATGTTAGGGTCACAAAAGTCTTTCTTTGGCTGGGATAAAGCAGCAAGTTGTTTAAAAGTTAATCACTATGCAAAGACTGAATCTGTTGTCTGAAAAGTATAGATATGTGCAGTGATAAAAAACAAACAAAAGTGAGTAAACGAACCTTATTTCCTAAATGACAAATGGGTAAATGCTGTTTACCCACAATTACTCTCAACTATGGGTACTAGGGTACATGTTTTCCTCTGTTCTGCTTTCCAGACCTCAGTCCCTGCCAGCTCAGCAAATTTTCTCTGCTATGCAGCAGCTCATGTACATTGTTTCAAGTGTGGAATAGAATCCATTTCAGAAAATGTACTTCACATGAGACATAAAACCAAATCCTGCAACTGGCTAGAAAAGGCCCCGTGGACTATGATATGAGGGCAGGACTCCTAGGGTATGTCTAAACAGTCGCGTGTAGCTATACAATTTGAGCTATGCAAATTGTGTAGCTTATTTCGAAATAGCCTGTTTCGAAATTTGGCACTATCTACACAGCACCAAATTTCGAAATAGAGCACTATTCTGGCATCTTCCTTATTCCTCATGCAATGAGGCTTACAGGAAGCCAAAATAAGACCCCTTCCCTTATTTCAAATCTATTTCAAAATAATGGGCATGCTGTTAAGATGCGCACAGCGCTATTTTGGTATAATGGACATTATACTGAAATAGCGCCACTGTATCGACGTATCCCTACAGCCGGACAAGAAGCCCACTGAAGTCAATTGATTTCAAAGTGCTTTGGATCAAATACTGAGTTCTGATGATGTAGCTGAATGGCACTTCTGTTTCTCAACAGTAAATTCCCCTTTCAGTTTCATTGGATATTATGATTTTGGCAATACTATTCTAAATGGCTCTGTGGAGTTCCTGTGCCTTGTTAAACAGCTGCCATATTCCACTCCAGAGATGGCTTCACTTCACTGGTGGGTGACGTGATTACTATATGTATGTATATGTTTTGTAAAGTGTTTTGGGATTCTTTAGTACTATAACAATGCCACATTTTTACATTGTTAAGAATTTTGCTCCTTTTGGGCTTGTCTTTTTCTAAACTTTGCAGCCTTGATAAAGATCATGAGAGACATTCAGAAGCTTTCTTTTGAAGAGAGACTCTAAAGATTGCATCTATTTAGAGAGGAGATACGGTAACTAAGAGGGTATTTATTAGAGAAATATAAAATAATGATGGTGCAGAGAACCCATGTAGAATGCTTCCAGTGTCTCATAATACAAAAACAAGAGGGGCAATCAATGCAACTGAAAGGCAAAAAGTGGGAAAATAAAAGGAAATACTTTCTGTACAAGTCATAATGAACATGAGTAACTTATTGCCACACAATTCCAGTGAAGCCAAAAACTCAGTAAGATTAAAATAGGATTAGACATTTACATGAATTATAAGAACATTTGCTGTTTCATTGGATAGAGTACACAATTTTTCATTTTAAAGAAGGAGCATAAAGCCTCATGCTTCATGGTATAAATGAGCCCACAAACCGAATGGGGTTAGAAATACACTTCCCCTTTGGCAGGAGATTCAACTGCTGTTCATTATGAGGTTTCTTGCTCCTTCCTCTGAAGCATGTGACACTGCCAAAAATGACAATACAGGTCCAATGCATACATTTCTAATTACCTGACTGGCCGTTTAAACAATAAAACATATTAATAATTGTCTATGTTATTGACACTGACATATATTAGAGCCAATTTCTGCCCTCTTTTGTGCATGCATGCAACACTCCTATCGTAGTGATGCTTATGTACCAGTGGGAGAAATATGGCTGTTATCACAATCCAGATACTATACATGAAGGCTGCATCTAGATTGGCATGATTTTCCGGAAATGCTTTTAACGGAAAAGTTTTCCGTTAAAAGCATTTTCGGAACAGAGCGTCTAGATTGGCATGGACGCTTTTCCACAAAAACGCTTTTTGCGGAAAGGTGTCCGTGCCAATCTAGACGCGCTTTTCCGCAAAAAAGCCCCGATTGCCATTTTCGCGATCAGGGCTTTTTTGCGGAAAACAAATCTGAGCTGTCTACACTGGCCCTTTTGCACAAAAGCTTTGCGCAAAAGGGACTTTTGCCTGAACAGGAGCAGAATAGTATTTCTGAAAGAAGCACTGATTTCTTACAGTAGGAAGTCAGTGCTTTTGTGGAAATTCAAGCGGCCAGTGTAGACAGCTGGCAAGTTTTTCCAGAAAAGCGGCTGATTTTCCGGAAAAACTGGCCAGTCTAGACACAGCCGAAGTGTGGAATCCATAATTTGTGCTGTAGCATATGGGTAAAATACACTGCACAAAGCCCGTGTATTAAATTTATCTGTAGCTCACGCTGGCTGCAGCTGCAGGGCTCCTGGTACAATACCAAGTATGATACATGGCACACTGAAAAAATACTCCACTCTTCCTGTGGTATACAAGCAACTGCATATTTGGTTCCTCAGCCTGGTTACAGACAGTCTCACTGTGTTCCTTATATACTCTCTAGCTCAGATGTGTGTACCGTGTACTAGAGGCAGTGTTTCTTAAGAGAGCAATGAATTGAGAATCATGCCTCCTGGTTTCAATTCACAGCTCTGCCACTAATTTAGTGGGTGACTTTGAGCAAGTAATTTTTTCCACTGTAAAATCCAGCAAAGCAATAATTTCCTACCTCACAAGGATGTTGTGAGGCTTAATTGATTAATATTAGTAAAGCACTTTGATATAAGTCCCTATAGAGGGTAAAAGTATTAGTATATTTCAAGATCTGAAATCATTTAAGAACTAATGACAGTAAATACAATAATTTCTTGGTGAAATTCCTAATGAAGTCACATAATGGCTTCAGAGCTGTGAGTTTAGTCCATAAAGTAATAATAATATATTTAACAAATGGTTATGAAAAACACAGGAGAACAAAGAAAGAAGGGCAAAAATCCACTCCCTAGCTGAGAAGTTACTGAACATTTAGAGCCATGGAATAGATAAATTAAAGAAAGCTAAGAGTAGGAATTTCCTTGGCTTCCCACTACGAACAAGTTACTGATTGATTTCATGGGGGTTGGGTTTTTTTGGCAAGGAGTGTAATATGCAAGTGTCAAAGTCACAAAAATAGGTGGATGGGGAAGAGAGAGGCAGTCTTGACTTAAAATAGAATGTGGGAGTTGGTATAGGTTAGTGTCTAATGCAGTGGATGAAGAATTAATTTTGTCATATTTATTCCCAGCTCTGCTTTTGAGTCATTATGAAATAAGTGTCTGTGCACTTCAAAACCACAGTTATACTGTGAACCAGATTGTCACCTGGTTAAAACAGGCACAGCACTGTAAACTTCAGTAATGCTGTTGACTGACACCACTTGAGGATTTGGCCTGGTATTTACAAACCTCTTGGGGGCTGCTAATACCTAATATAATCAGATCCAAGCAAGCACCCGATACCTTACTGTGCAGTCCTGCAGTAAAAGTAATTTTACTCATAATAATTTGTGGCAGGTGCAGAAAAATTGCCATCCCCATGCATCCACACTGACACACAAATATCCTGATATATAAACTATTCCCACTATGTGAGATAGACATTAACAAAAATATCAGCCCTGTGGTGTCAGGTGAGCAATTGGTTTAGCAGGGACTTCTGAGGGCATGAGATCCACTTGCTTAGGAAAGAGAATCCAGTCTTCCTGTCACTCCCTTTTTCACTGATCATGCAGTTTTACATGTAGAGAGAGTCCATGCCACACAATGCTGAAAAGCTGGCAGTTTGCTGTTTAAATACAAAGCTGCCTTTCAGTCACACAGCTGAGAGTAATCCCAGCCCAAGCTTGTTTTTGTTTTATAAAAACAGGAGCTGCCATGAAAAACAGACGGATAAGACTGGGGCAGGAACGGGTGGATGGGGACAAAACTATGGGGGGCAAAGTGCCTGGCAGTCAGATGAACAAATCACATCAGCAGACTCATCCAGATAGTGGCACCAACTTCCTTCCCAAATTGCAAGGAACTATCGTTTGTTAGACTCTGTCTATGCTACGACTTTTAACATGGCCCCCAATAGGCTTTGCATCCACATACAATCTAGCGAATAGTTGGCAATGATGGGAACTACTGATGAGTTATCCTTGCCAAGGACCTAGCCTGGCTGGCCCATAGTTGTCTTCCTGTAACTAGTTTGGCATGTTCTTATTTTGGCAGTACAGGCAAGAGCCCTTAATCATACCCATGTAAATAGTTTGGCCAGGTCTCCTCTCAGGTCTCTGGGCAGAGTGCATTGTCTCATGTGCTGCTAGTGCTGCATTATGTGCATGTATTCTGGACACTTTTTCCTTGCTGAAGCACTGGGGTGAGAATGTGGGAATTACTGCTCAGATTTTCCCAGGATGCACTTATACCAAACACAGATAAGCAACATGGTAACACTGTTGATAAGCAAACAGAGTTGATGCTTGTGTCATGAAAAAAGCTGCTGTGTGGACAGAACCATATTTGACTTTGTGTAACTGGATCAGATAAGAATGTCACAAACCAGTTACAAAAAAAAGTTATTGGCTTAGTAGTCTGAAATATTCAAAGTCACTGAGGGGATTTAGATGCACACCATCCATTCATATCACTTGGAATTGTATGCCTAGATCCATTCAAAAAACCTCAGTAATAATGTGGACAGGGCTTTAGTGTCCTGTTAAATGAACTTCAGGGGGTAGCTGAGTTAGTCTGTTACAGAAAAAAACAACGAATGGTCTGGTAGCACTTTATAGACTAACAAAACATGTAGATGGCATCATGAGCTTTCGTGGGCACAGCCCACTTCTTCAGATGAGCAGAATTATGAGTTTGGGATATGAAAACTCAAAATAAATAGGAGAGGGGAAGGGGAGAGGGGAGAGAAAGAAAAAGGGAGGAGGTGGGAGACAGGGCATCATTAAGTATCTGGAGAATGGGTACTTAAACCTAAGCAGATAAAAATTAAAGTCAATAGATAGATTCCTAAGACAGGAGGGATACCACTCAGAGAGCTGTTAGCACCTTCAGTGGTTATTAAGTAGGTAGTGTCACAATTGAGTCCATTCCCATGTGAATTGAATTCACGGATGAACTGTGATTCCAGGGCCTCCTCATTGTTTTTTTCTATTAAATGAAGGTTCTCCCTCTTAGAACAAGGATCACGCTGACCTGGGTTGAAGTAGAACTGAGAAGAAATGGTGATTTCAAGGTTATTTTGGAAGACATGCGAAAGAAGAATGATGTGTGTTGACTTTCACTTGTACAATGTTTACATTTCCTAAATCCAGAACTGTTTGGTTGAAGGAAACCAGACCATTTTTCTGGTTAGCACATTGGGAAAGGTTGTATGGCATTGGGAGTTAAGAGTGGACTACCAGCAAGATTGTAAGTCAATGTCATGAAGGTTTGTGGCAAGGAAATAGTTTTGTAGAATCACAAAATGGAAAAGTCTGTTGAAAGCTCCTTTCCTTGGGTCTTCCTGCAAATTAGGAGAATGAAACTGAGCGGAAAGTAAAAAGAACAGCAGGTTATAAGTGAGCACAAAAATATTAGATTGCACAAACCCACCAAGCAGATATCAGATTGCAGATGGGCACCTGTACATATCAGCTAGCATCAGATGGATGGTGGGTTCCAGAGCAACACAGCAAATAAGTATAAGAATGCAGGGGAAGACTGAGGCTAGGTTGTGGCTGAAATCACCAGTACATTACCCAGGTAAGAGGTATGAACAAAGGAAGGGGAAAGGAACTTTAGCCTTTACTGAATTCATTAATTGCATTGAACCCAAGCTTTTCTGAGGTTTTAAAAAGTTCAGAAACCATTTTAAAGCATATATATAAGATGCATACACCTCTTCTGATTTTCCGATTTTGGCAAAATTAAGAAACAAAACGAACATGAGGAAGGCTATTCTTGATGTCATTACAGCCTAGCTGATGTTCAGAAGAACTAGAACAAAGATGTTCAGAAACGTTTGGATAAACGTATACAATTTTCAGTACTTATCTGGGTGAGTCCATAAATAAACTTTGGAAGGTTCCCCAGTAGCTAGTAAGAGCCAGTTTGCAGTTATACCCTAAGCTGGCGCCAAATGAATTTAGAAGAGTTCAGAAATCATACCAATGTCTGATTCTTCCAAACTTCAGATATCTTAATCTTGAGATGCACTGGAGAGAAAATGAAAGAAAATAGTCAATTGCCAGCTAAGCCTAAATTTAATTAATATGTCCTGTAGACATTTGCCAGTATACGAGCTATATTGACACATTCTCTTGGCTTATAGATTGTATAATGCTAGTTTTCTGTAGGTCATTCATTCTGCTCCATCTCCTTCCTTTGCTTGGTGGTCTTGTTATCATCAAAGTATCATGTAACCATCCTCTACCACTTGAGTTGGAGTATCTCCATTACCAGATACAAT